CATCTTTCCGTTTAAGTTGGATGGTGCAGCTGCACCGCAAAAGAGAAACAGAAGTCATTTCAAAATTTACGACAACTCACTGGTCTTCGAAACCGTTAATTTAGCCCACATCAACGGTCAGCGATGACCTCACGTTACTGTGGGTTGGCAAAACATTCGCGTCACAAAGATGAATATATTTCCAGGAATAACATTTGATTTAAAGTCCGAACGAGTGTCAGATTGTCACATGGTGAAAGCAAAAAGAACAAGGTCAGTCTTATTTTCATCCTTGGGGGGGAAAAAAAGACTTGATAATTAACATTGCATGCATTTTTTTTAAGTACAAAGTGATCTTTTTCTTACAGTACCTGTTGTAAACATGTCCTCGACTTCATTTTTGCTGGAACTGGCGGATGTTTCGGTGATCATCATCATCATCATCATCATCATCAGGCTGGTTGAATAAACAGCTGTTTTTATTTTGCTCATCTTCACCTCGATGTACAACCGTGGAACTCTGTGGAATCTCTGACAGAGTGTACGGTGTTTGTGTGTGAGTGTGTTTGTGCATGGACAGAATCACTTTCGTTTCTTCCTTGGTTAAGTTTCATTTCTGGGTGTTTCTCACATCCTCTTTACTGTGTACACTCCCACACACACACACACACACACACACACACACACACACACATAACTTGGATTAGTGGGCGGCCAGTTCGATATGAGAGATAATGTTAATGCAAAAAGTCTACACACCTCTGTTCAAATGCCTCTTTTTTTGTGTGTGTGTGAGATATAAAAAAAATGAGACCAAGAGAAATCATGCAAGAACTTTTCAAACCTTGAATATGACCTTTAATCTGCACTACTCAAGTGAAAAAAAAAAAAGAAAAACAGGGGAAGCAAAACTAAACAACTGAGATCAACTGTTTACACAAGTGTGCACTCGCTCTTCAACTGGGGTTGTGGCAATCACATTGAGAAGGGAGGTCCACTTGGTGATGTCACGACTTTTCATATTTTCTCCGCTTGAAGATGACCATGTTCGCTATGTGCCGTGGTACGTTTGCTATACAGCTTTTGAAAAGTGAGATTATTAAGATTCATTTTTTAAACCATAGTACAAATAGGTTAAATGAAAATGTACAAATGTGGGGGGAAAAAAAATAGAAAACTTGTTGGAAGAAAAGAAATATTCGATTTTCAATAAAAAGCAATTAGGGTTGACCATGTTGGAGAATCCAAATATTTTTTAAAAATTAACTCAAAAGTGCACGTTTTGGAAGAAAATATTTTAGAAAAAATAAATATTAGCTGCATACGGCACAAACATTGTCCCAGGAGGGGGAATTAAAATTGTTCTCAGTGTATTTTGAATGTCATTGTCATTTGCTTTTTTCCATAAATTAAGGATAAACTCGCTGTAAGTTGTCTCAAAGTATGAAATTAAAAAAAAACCCCGCTTAGTTATGCCCCAACGATGTTGTTGTGTTGTTGTTTCGCTCCACGTGGAGAAAAGCAGCTCGGCGGTTGTGACGTTGCACGCAGATCCGTGGGCGTGACGTCACGTGACGTTCCAATCCGCTTTTTGAATTCTTGCGCCTTTCTTTGTCGCTCCTCAAACAACACAAAGCGATTTGAAACCGCTTCCATGGAAGCCCCAGCAGGATGTGTCGTCGTGTCAACGAGCCTTAACAAATTACAACTTCCGGCGCAAGGTGCGTGTCAATATTTTGAAGCGGAAGTCGCGCTTCTGTTGCAACCTGTCGGCTGTCACCGTGGACTCATCTGACATGCACACGCATGACATGAAATGAAATGACGCGCATATACACACACACACCCTGTCCCAGCCTATAAAGGCACACACACCACCAAGGACCCTCATTGACCACAGAGCAACAACACAAAGATCATTCGAAGAGGACACGCTGAGCACAACTATGGGCGTCTTCATTTCGCGACTTTTCTCCATGTTTACTGCCAAAACTCCCGCCAGGATTCTCATGGGTGAGTTCAAGATTGATTTGGTTCTTCATTATTGTCATTATTGTTATTGGTAGTGTGAACATAAGTAGTAGTGGCTGTGTCATATTTTTAGTTTTTGTTATTATTATTCTCATGGGTATTCGTATTAATATTCTTAAAGGGGAATGCAAAAAAATATTTGCAATAGAGTAACCCCCCCACCCCCTCCATCGCGTAGGTGTCATTCCAGACTAAACTGGTAATAAACACACACATAAATATTTGTATAAACAGTATACCAGTCCGTGTGTTTAAACACATCCTGTAGTTTTCAAACTGTCAAACTTTTTTTTCACATCTAACAATATTCATCAATAATCAGGGGCGGAATTGTATGGTGGCCAGGGGCTAAGGCCACCCCTTATCGCTCTCTTCCCACCTGAACACCAAGGGGATCATTTTGATATTTGTCGTTTTTCTGCCCTTTTCACATGGATGCCCCATTCTTAGACTCCTACTGTGGTTATTTATGTGAACTGCATACTAAAGAGCAAATGCACGATTGATCTGAATAAAAGCTTTGAAAGAATCTGTCTTATGTAAAGACGATTGAAACACTCAGGAATCTCTTTCTAATCTTCTCAGCAAAAATGTTTTTCTTACGCTTTCAAAGTACACAGTCTTAAAAACAATGGTGTGCCACTCTCTAGTGGCCAAAGGTGGGATTACACCCCAAAATATGGATCCTATCCCAGGTGACTTTGGGCAGAAGGCAGGCTACACCCTGAACTGGTTGCCAGTCAGTCTCAGGGTACACATAGAGACCAACAACCGTTCACACGCACATCCACATCCACACCATCACTGAGTGGGAACTAACAAAAAAAGATCAGCACAATAACAATAACAATTTTAAGTCGCTTCTTTTGAATATAGTTTTACTTTTACCACCACTTGTTATCTTGTTGTTTTGTGTGTCACAGTGGGTCTGGATGCTGCCGGTAAAACAACTTTGCTGTACAGATTGAAGCTGGCTGAGGTGGTCACCACCATCCCCACTGTGGGTCAGTCAATAAAATAGCTAATAACAACACCTTTTGAAAATTGTAAAGTGAAAAAAAAATCATCCAGTGGGATTATTTATTTATTTATTTATTTACGTGCAGGGTTTAACGTGGAAACAGTTGAATATAAAAATATCTCCTTCACTGTTTGGGACGTCGGTGGGCAAACTGTCATCAGACCGCTATGGAGACACTACTTCACAAACACTAATGTGAGTACACGCTACTACACAAACACTAATGATCTACATACATGCTTGTCCACAAACATTAATGTAGGTACACACTGCTACACAAACATGGACATAAGTACTCGCTGTTATACACAACTACACAAAGACCATAAATACATTGCACGCGACTTCACAAACACAATGTTTAAGCTCTACACTTTAAATTTTAAAAAAGTGATTCATTTCCATCAATTGCTTTTTGAAAATGTCAACGAATGTTTGTTTGTTCAGGGTGTCATCTTCGTGGTGGACAGTAATGACCCCCAGAGACTCAAAGAGGCTTCTGAAGAGCTGCATAGGATCGTGAGTCATAAATCAGTCAGTCACTCAATCAATAATCGTAAACATGTTGACGTATTTCATTTGATAAGCGGTGTTGTTTGACAGCTGGAAGAGGATGAGCTGAGAAAGGTGGCTCTGCTGGTGTTTGCCAACAAGCAAGACCTCCCTCAAGCCATGACAGTCGCTCAGGTCAGCGACGGCCTGTGCCTGTCGGGGGTCACTCAGCCGGTATGTTACACGTTACATGTAAAATCCCCTATTTTTTCTCTCAGAGAATCCAATTTCTGATTTGAATTAATATTTTTTCCCTCTGGGCTTATCTATTGGATAAATAGCAAAACATGAATGTAAACATCAGACATTTTCAATTATTGATAACTTTACAGCCATGTTGTTAATTCAGCAGCGTATATCAACAAAGACATACATGGAACTACTAAAGTAATTAGATTTTTAAAAATTATCAACATCAAAATTAATAAATAAAATCAATTAATCTCCCAGCCCTTCCTATACTGTAACGCCTGATGACTTCCAAGTTGTTCTCATTCCAAACTATACAGATGTAAAAAGAAATTAACTACTGTGTGTTTGTTTGTGTGTCTGTGTGTAGTATTATATTCAGGCGTCCTGCGCGGTGAGCGGGTCAGGTCTGGTTGAAGGTCTGGATTGGCTCTCGAAGCAGATCCTGAAGCAGTTTTAGCTGATGAGTCGTGGACTTCTCCCTCCCGCTCTGCTCCTCATCTCATCAACACGGCGGCCGCAGTATCTTCACCTCACCAAGCGAAGCACAAAGGAAGAAGAAAAACACTTTTGGATGTTTTTGCTCATAAGAAATGGTTCTGGTGATATTATGGTTATATTTTTATATTATTATATTGGAGAAAGGGTTCTGATACAAGGATTGATCAGGTCGTTCTGTTTTATTTCATTTGTGACAAATGTTTCATGAACATGTTCATATTGTACAGATTTATCCTCAATAAAGTGGTTTTAGGGTGGATAGATTTGTCTGTATTTTATTTTTGATTTTTGTTACTGGTAAATAATTTCTGTATGCGCTGAGCGTTCTGTAGGTGAAATGAGTTTGAGGTGAACTGGTAAAGGTAAAGAATTAGCTGATTCATGTGAATCAAACATTGATTGATTGTTTTCAAAATATATAGTAAAAAAAAAACAAGAAATACGCATTTTCAAAATAATTAGAAATTATTCCATAACATTTATTTTAACATTGACCACATCATGAATATAAAGTGATCTTCACAACGACAACAAAAAGTGAATCGAACTTTCATTCAAAGCGTCAGCCATTTTGGCGCTCTGTCGTCGGGCTAAACGCAATAAGGGCATAGAGCCACAATGGCACTTTTTCCCCTTTAACCAAAGAGCCAATCAAAAGCTTGGACATTCTCGACCGTCCAATCAAAAGCTTGAATGTTTTCATCTGTCCAATCAAAATAAAGTTAGTACAAGGTGGAGTAGTTTCTGCCCCTTGTAGTGATTCCGGGTGCTCCCCAAAAAAATCTTAAAAGTGGGAGTTGACAGCCTAATTTGTTGCTGTGTTTTCTCTCGTCTGTTGTCATCTAGTCTCAAACTGCAGCCATGCCTGGGATAGAGAAACTGCCTCTCGAAGAGACCTTGGAGGACAGCCCGCAGGTTAAGAAAAAAAAGACCTGACTTTATGTGAAGCTTTAGGCTTATATGCTAACGCTAGCGCCCTGCTATGCTAACAGCAGTGTTTGTCAACAGCTAGCCACATGCTAACAGCTAGCACCCGGTCGTTGAGACGGAAGGCTGAAGCAAAATCGGCCCAGCTGACACATCAGCTAATGAATATTTTCCATCTCGTCGTCAGAGGAGGGGTCTCCTTCTATGGGCTGCATTTGCTTTCATTTACTTCCGTAGCCGCCAGGCTAACTCCTGTCTGTCATTTTGCTTCATTGATGTCTATCTCGCACTGTAGTTGTGGTTGTTGGTATTTAATTTTAACCTGTGGACAGAGACAAGACAACGAAATGTAGGATATAGATGCCTACTGATTTCCAGAAACGCCCGGTGACACGTCACAGGAGATTTTTCCATCCCCCCTTAGGTCTATGTACGACTATCCCCTTTGTCGTCACTACTAGGAAGGCGATTCAGTTCACTGGTAGAATGTTGGTGTCCTGCCAGTTTTGGGGAGGATTCCCCCCCCCCCCCCCCACTGCTCTATGACATTGCTGTACACAAGTGACCACTCTGGCATGGTAGTAGAATTATATATTACCAGTGAGGCAGAGCAACTTTTTAGTATTTTGGTCCTCTTAGGAACCGACACGTGCCAAGTAATGTTTTTTGTTCAACACCGTACTTCACAAGCGAGGTTTATTACTCTCTTTGTGCCAGTGCACTTCCTCCTTGATAGTCCCACTTTGTTTTTGTGGTTCAATGAACTTAATCCAGTCCAAAATGGCTAGGCACCACTGAATAAGCCGGGTGTGTGGGTGCAATTTTAAGGAAGGAGCACAAAACTAGCTGGATGGATGTGAATAGGGTGCATTTTTCAGTGAAAAATGAATTAAATATTCAATATTTCAGACCCGATCTCTGCTGGGAGTGTTTGAGGAGGACACGGCAGTCATGTCCAACTACTGCACCAGGCTTTATCAGGCCATGCATAGAATCTATGACGCCCAGGTACAAATACACATGGACGCACGGTATGGAGGAACTCGGTGATGAGTACGTGTGTTTTGAGTCAACTTATTCCCTTTTCAGAATGAGCTGAGTGCTGCAACACATCTCACATCCAAACTGCTAAAAGAGTATGACAAACAGGTTTGGAACGTTCACATTAATGCCTTTTAATTGTCACTGTTTAATGATGTTTTTTTGGGGTGGGGTTTTGAAAGCTCTAAAACACAGTTTGATCGCAACATAGTTTTAATAAACGGTGATCATATTCATAACTGTCATAATTTTTTCAGACATTTTCATATGGTTTCATCTCAAAGGCTGCTTTACATTCGATCAGATAATGTCTTGCAGCAAAATGAGACTTGTTTTCTTCACTTAAAAGCAATAATCCTTTTTTTTTTTTGGGGTAGCGCTTTCCGTTAGGGGGCGACGATGAAGTAATGAGCTCCACCCTGCAGCAGTTTGCGAAAGTCATCGATGAGGTGAGTGTATGACATTTCTTGTTCTTGTTCTTGTTTTTCTTCTGCTTCTCCTTCTTCACCGTGCATTCAAGTCTCTTCTTCTGTGGTGGCTTTTTTTTTTTTGCTTGTTTCTTTGGCCAGCTGAGCTCTTGTCACGCCGTTTTGTCAACCCAACTGGCCGATGCCATGATGTTCCCCATAACACAGTTCAAAGAGAGAGACCTGAAGGGTATTTGGCTTTTAAATATAATATAATATCATTTTCAGACATAAAGCATCACTTTCTTTTTTTGTGCTTGCAGAAATCCTAACTCTGAAGGAAGTATTTCAAATATCCAGCGATGGTAAGTTACCTTCCCAGTATCCACAACGGACACTGCTGCCATTTTAAGCAGCCAAAAAAAAAAAAAAAAAAAAACTACTTCCATGTTGTCATACATCTTTAAAATATTTTTATATTGGAATTGCATGTTGGACAGCTCCAATCACCTTTTGCTAAAATGATAAGGAAGCTATTCTGATTTGTGTAAAGCAAAGTTCTCTTGTCTTGCTAAATGTTTTGACCGTCATCATTGCAGATCACGACACGGCCATCAACAGATACAGCCGCCTGTCCAAGAGGAAGGACAACGACAAGGTAAGCTCCTCGAAATGCGCGACAAATGTGCGCCCGAGGAAGCTCACGTCATCATGGTCATCGCTGTGCGTGGCAGATGCGCGCCGAGGCGGTGGAGGACGTGTACACGTCGCGCAAGAAGCAGCACCAGACTATGATGCACTACTTCTGCTCCCTCAACATGCTGCAGTACAAGAAGAAGACGGCGTTGCTGGAGCCGCTGCTGGGATACATGCAGGCTCAGGTGTGGAGGGTGCACCTGTTGGAACACAAATGCCGTGAATGGCTTAACTTGAGTATTTACTTTTTTTTTTTCGTCTGCAGATCAACTTCTTTAAGATGGGCTCAGAAAACCTCAGCCAGCAGTGGGAGGACTTCTTGGCCACCATCGGGACCAGCGTCCAGAAGTAAGACGCTTCTCCAGCCGGTTAGCAGAAATTTGCTCATGGGAATGCCGCACGTCAAAACATGAGCGACATTTGCCAATGCTAATATCTCTTAAGATATTACCCAAAAATATCTTAATAAGAATGCTAAAAATATGGAAATATGTAAAAATGATATGGAAACATTAGATTTTTAAAAACTACATGCAATACAATAAGATGATGAAAAACGGTTTAAAGATGCAAAGATACCATGCATATGAGAGTAAAATTTAAAAGCCATTGAAAATATACAAACATTTGAAACAAAAATAGAAATAATATATTCGACAAAATGCACATATTAAAAATAAAATACATAAAATGTTAATAAAGTAAAACTCAGTTCCACCAAATAAAATTATTTCATACATTATGAGACTAATTTAAAGAAGAAAAAAAGAAAATACACAACTATTCATGACATCACATTCCATTAATAAATGAGTAAAAATAAATAAATTCCAAAAATATTACGTTAAAATAATTGTTGACAGGAATATCAGAAAAAATGGACCCAAATATTGAAATATTAGAAGAATCAGATTAAATTAAAATGAAAAAATATTTGCCAAAACTGTAACTTAAAATACTGAACAAGAAATATAACTGTTAATAAATACACCAATAGAGAACAAAAATACAAAAATAATGTAGTACTGGAAAAAGTCCATTTGCAAAAAAAAAAAAAAATGAAAATAACAATCGCCACAAATACAGAAGTATAAGATAACCATTGCAAGATTCAGATCAGAACGTATTGCAAAAGTATTAGACAAAAATACATTTGTTAAAACTACACACAAATATGATAAATTGTCACAATTAAAAAAAATGTAACCGTATTAGAACAGAAGTTAAACATGTTTCTTGGTCATTGGGCTGTAACGACTACTCCTGGGACGCTCAGTTTGTCAGTAATGATACTTGCATTAGCGTGCGTCGGGAGATGGAGGAGGAGGTGGGCCACATGCAGCAGACCATCGAGCAGATGGAGAAGTCATGTGACCCTCTGTATGCACCTTGCGACCCGGACCCGCTCCACTCGCCGGTGTGTCGCAACCTCACCCAGAGGCAGGGCTACCTCTATGTTCGCAAGTGAGTACGCCGCAAAATGGGACCTGCGACGTTGACGGGCCACTAAGCAGTTTTAATCTCGTAACTCGAGTTAATTCAGCTGTCTGAATCCCCCCCCAACAGTAAAACGGGCCTGGTGTCCACGTCGTGGGAGCGTCAGTACTTCTTCACACAAGGGGGCAACCTGATGCAGCAGGGCCGCGCCGAAGTGGCGGGCGGCCTGGTGACCGACCTGGACAACGCCTCCGTCATGGCGGTGGACAGTGATGACCGCCGCTTCTGCTTCCAGATCACATCCTTCGACGGCAAGAAGTAAGAGCCCGCCTGCCGCTCGCTCGGTGACAATAAGCTTGTTTTATCCTTATTCTCAATACATGTCATATCTGATAACGGTAAAGTGAAAAATACCGTTTTCAACATTTTTGCTAATTCATTCAAAATACTTCAAAAAAACACACCTACACAAAAGTAATAAATGAAAATTACACCAAAAAAAAATATTGCTGTCACTTGGACTGCCCCCTGTTGCGTTCGGTAGTTCAGTCTCGATCCCACCTGACCCAAAACAACGTTGCGAACATTCTTGTAAATGTGTTTTGTGTGCGTGTGTGTGTGTGGCGTCGTCAGAGTGGTGACACTGCAAGCGGAAAGCAGGAAGGACTGCAAGGAGGTAAGGGAGTCAAAGTCTCCCCAGTTGTTTTCGGTGGTTCTTCTCTGACCGCATCTTGATGCTCTCCGCTCACCAGTGGATCGCCACCATCAACAACATCTCCAGGCGCATCTACCTGAGCGAGAACACAGAGGTGTGTGCCCATGAAAGTGTGAAAGTCAGACTTTGAGCGTGCGTGCGTGTATGCGCGCATAAGACAAAACCCCTCCTTCATCCACAAGCATGCCCTCAACCCATGTGGCTTTCCACCAACAGGAAGTGGCAGCCAGAATCAACCAATTAGCCATTGAGGCGGTGACGCCGTCGCCGTCCTTCCAGCAGAGACACGACAGCATGCGGCCTGCCAGGTTAGCTGTGTGCGTGTGCGTGTGGGTGTGTGAGAATGTTCCACGCTCGGACCCCTTCCCTGAAAACACCTTCCTGACTTACTTGCTTGCTTCATGCCAGCAAGAGCCGCGTGGGGCGAACCGGCAGCATCAGCTCAGTGGGCTCCGAGCCTTCGCCCGCCCTCTCTGCCCTCTCATTGGATGCCCTGGTTGCCCCGGAAACGCCAATCCAGTTTGACATCATCTCCCCTGTCAGCGAGGAAAATGCCAGACATGGCAAGACAGCAGCGCAGGCTGGCAGGTACCTTTTTGCAGCCAAGAGAAATTATTCTCATCATGAGGAGGGGTTGTTGTTGTTGGTGCGATGATTATCTTTGCAATCATAATTACGACACATAATAGATTTTTGGAGGACATATTTGTCTTTTTTTGAATGATTAGGATTAGTTAAACGTTTTAAACCTTATCATTCGGTACTTTATTATCATTCATTTTCTTTCCTGATTAGCTGCTGCGGCGACCATTTTGGGCACCCGCATCTGTGTTTAGAAAATGGCTTTTTGGGCAAAGCCAGTGCAAATATTAAATGTTATGTTTTTATTTGCGTTCAGTCATTTTGTGTGTGTGCATGTGTAACCACAGGAGAAGTAATCCATTCGGCGAGTCGGGTGACAAAACATCAGAGGACAGCGAAGGTATGCTGCGCTCTCCGAGGGCTCATTACTGCTCCTTGTGGCCCAGAGATGACCGGCAAGTGTATATAGTTCATCTATATTTTTGGGGTGTGGTCCAGACTCGATCCTGCACCAGCTCTTCATCGTCCGCTTCCTGGGCTCCATGGAGGTGAAAAATGCCGAGTCGGCGGATGTCATCCCCGAGACCATGAGGCAAATCCTGGCGGCTCGCGCCATTCACAACATCTTCAGGATGACCGAGTCGCACCTGCTGGTCACCTGTGATTGCCTCAAGTAACAACCTCTCCTCATCTGTGTCTTCAAATTAAAGTATTGTCCATATTTTGTTCAATTACAGCCTGGATTCAATCTCCCCCTCCCCCGCTTTAAAATTCCAAGCCTTATAAAAGTGAAGCACCTTTTCCACATTTCCTTTTGTTCCAGCCATATTCCGAAATTTATTGAAATAATTTGTATTGTGTTGAGAATTTTGGAGGTTAATAAAAGTTTTTTTTTTCCCACCTCTCTGCAGGCTTATCGACCCGCAGACACAAGTGACAAGACTCACGGTAGGTTCACGCTGGCACACGTCACACTTGAGCCTCCGCAGTGGAGCTTGCAACCACTGTGCGTGTGCGTGTTTCCCCATCAGTTCCCTCTGTCAAGCGTGCTTCAGTCGTCGTCCCATCAGGACAACAAGAGACTCTTTGGATTCATCATGCACTCTGCCAGCGGGCATGCCGACGGACGAGCTGTCTGCTACATCTTGGAGTCCAACGATGACGGCGAGAAGGTAGAGATTTTGTTTTACACTTGGTGAAATTAACATTTCACCTTCAAATTCAATGCAGATTGGCCCACAATGTTAAAAAAAAAAAAAAAAAACGTTTGTTTTTCCCTTGATTTGGGGATTTTTTTTTTTTTTTTTAAACAAGTGCATTAAAAATAAAATAAAAATGACTCACACATTTTTTCTACATTTTATTGTGCAGCCGTATTCCAAATTTGTTTTAAAAAATCGTTTTGTCTTGAAAATTCTACATACGAGGCAGCCTCTTTTTTTGGAGATATTTACAAATGTATTCAAAATGTATAATAATGTCAATATTGCATGTACTATAATATTCACAGTCGTCAATTTTTCCATTGTTTGTGTGCTTACAGCCATATTCCAAAATTGATTAAATTGCACACTCCGAAAGAGCCTACCAAATAGTGTCCTATCATCAAAGAGTGACTGAATGCTTTAAGAAAAACATGTGTTGGTAACCCCTCCCTTGCTACTTGTTTTGTTTCAGATTTGCGACAGCATTGGTTTGGCTAAGCAGATTGCCCTCCACTCTGCTCTGGTGAATCTCACCTTTCCCTTTGTCTTTTTAATGTATAATTTTTAATTCTTTACTGAGTCATGTCGCGTCATGTTGTAGGACCGCAAAGCGGTGGAGAAGCGCAAGGAGCAGGACAAAGCCAAAGAGAAGCAGCAGGAGGAACTCAGCAAGCAGAGACAGATAGAGATGGTGACCTTGTCTTCTGCGTTCTGTACAAAATGTATTTTTGGCTTGCAACACACAGCAAAAAATTAGAGTGATGCCTCATAACTGGCCCTGTGAGGATTCATTTGAAATGTGATTGGGTAAAAGAAACAGTCCCAATGCTGATAGTGTTGTATAATTACAGTTTGTAGTATATATGCGGGGGGAATCAGTACTAATCCCGGGGTGGATTAGATTAATTTCGCAAAACGCAGAGGCTAATATTTGATTGGACAAAAAGGGGAAAAAAATGTAATATTTACATCCATGTAGTGGTAGACAAATGCTATGAAATAAGGAGACAAGAGAAATTTAGGATGTCAGAGAATTTAGAGCTTGAGTTGGCCACGTCCAAATGTTACATGCATGCAATTATACAAAAAAATCTTTGATGGTGTCGTCCAGGACCTGGAAGAGCAAAGCCGCCTCATCGCCGCCTCCAGTCGTCCCGCCAACTCCGCTGGGGCCGACGGACACTTTGTGGTACTGAGCAACAGCCAATCAGAGGACAGCGATGCCGGTGGGGAGGAGGGCAAGAAGAAGTGCGAGTCTGATGCCTAGCCATGCGCCTAAAAAGGGGTACGAAGCCTCTGCCCGTCCACCCCTCGCTCAGGAACCAACACCCACCCGTCCGGGCTGCCTGGGAATGAAAAAAAAAAAAGAGTTAATCACAGACTCTTTTGTTTTAGTTGATGGTTTTTTTTTTTGTTTTTTTTAAGGAAAAAAAAAGCTTTTTATATTTTGGCAACTATAGATCTACAACATTCGTTTCCTATTTCTTCACATAATCATTTTGTCTGCAGGTGAGTCTTAATCTGAAAAATCCTCCCTGGTTGTTTGTCGTTATTCTGCACTGATTTGAGAGCAGCCAATGATCACGCACTTTTGAGGCGTTTGAGCCAAGTCGCATATTTTACATGAGAAAAAATGTTGCAACCAAACAAATGTCATATGAAGGAATCAAAGTGAACCCTTGCATATTTGCAGTTTGGCATTTGCTTATTTCCAGATAGTTTTTTTTTTTCTCGCAGTATTCCTTGTGTGGCACCATTATATATCTTGAAATGAGGTTCGGTGGTTGCTTGGGACAAAAGTACTGAATTGATACCACCTTGTGGCATCTACAGGCAATTACAGTCGATTACTCACCCATTTTCGCTATCTAGGGCTTGGTCCGCTACACAGTGAAGCCCCGTGAGGGCAGGGATACGTTGGAGACCCACCTGCCATTCAAATCTGCAATTTAGAGCACTGACACCCAACCAGTGTGTCTGAGCACATCTTCCACGAGATGGCAGAAGGGACATAATTAACTTGTGTATCGACCTTTTGTGAGATTGTTTTCCAAGTTGAAGTATGTGCCTTGGCTCAATAAAGGTTGCAAAACACTGATTAAGAGAAACGATTAAAACAAACACCTTACTAAAAATTTTACCCCCGGCCACATGCTTTAAATCCATTTAAAACACAAAATGGGAGTCCGATAACGCCACTCTGATGAAGTGAAGACTCCCATTCAAAGAGGCTAAGCGTGCTTGCTTCAATGGGTCTATCTCTCTCTCTCTCTCTCTCTCTCTCTCTCTCTCTCTCTCTCTCTTTCTCTCTCTCTCTCTCTCTCTCTCGGTTTATTTTAAATATGACACACAAAACAAAGAACATTGTATGTTGAAACACCCTAAAGGTTCAACCAAACTACATCATTGACGAAAGTCTAATGCGAACACGACATATGCAAAGTGCTCTTGACAGGATAATGGAAATTAGCATCGATGTTAAAATACCACAAACTTGAAAAAAATTGAGGGACCCGATGCTGAACGAAATACATAAATGTACCTTCTGCCATCTACTGGAAGAGTATTTTATTGTTTTGCCTGTCGCTATATGTCTCTGGCATTTGTAGACGAACAAAGACATTTGTTGTGAAAGTTTTGCAGACCAATTCGGTACAATTGGATAAGTAGTGGTTGGGAGTCACTGCTTTTTGGGGCACATTGCAGTCTGAGAGAGTCTGAATACCCAACTGCCACCACTGTAGTCTGTATTTTCAAAAGGATTACCAAACAAATAATGCGAATGGGAGACAATGTGGCAACCCCTGACGGGACAACAAGTCACAGCAAACACAACCACAACACAATTCAATAGCAAGACGTGTTGAGGATTGCTGACAAACCACAGTTTCTGGATGTAAAGTAGAAGAAAATGTTTACTGATTATCATTTGGGTCATATTGTTGGGAGCTTTTGTTCAGTTTGTGTTGACAGTTGGGCACTTTACTGACGCCATATTGTCGTAATGTACATATACGCCTCATGATCAATGTTTCAAGTTTATGTCATTTAACAAAACAAAAAAAAAAAAAAGCTTTTTAAAGACACATATAAAGCACTAGCTCCACCCGCCTGGACTGAGTTTCTTTACATATCAAACGCACCCTTCATTTTGATTTGCTTGTTTTATTGTTTATTGACTCATTGAACAATTACCGGCATGTTTTATCATCCATACACCAAAAGAACATAATCACACACATAAACCCACACTCTTGATAGTTTTTTTTTTGGGGGGGGGGGGTTTGGGTTTTAATATGTATATATATATATTGTAAACTTGACAGTATTTTCCACCCAGTAGTTTCTTGTGTAATACAATTGAGTAGCCCATCAAATATCGAATTAAATTGAATAAAGCCCCATCAAATAAATGAAAAACCAATTCAATTGATAATCAAAGCAAAATAGATTCAAATGTCATTTATCCGATAGAAAGAATGCATTTGTTGCAAATCTAAAATCCAGTCAAGCCACAACAAAAAAAATCAATTGAATAAAAAAAAAATCCTATTTAAAAAAATACAATACATTAATCAAAAACAGTTCAGGAATCCAAAAAAGAAGCTTCCCAATTATCTGCCACTGTGTTAATTGAAATTTTATGTACCAAACGTACTAAGGTATCGGTACTCAGACTCGGTATCGGTGAGTGCTTGAGTGATACAGTATTTGTACTGGTATCAGTCTGAACAATAGTGGTATCGAGCATCTTGATTATTACTGCCTGTGTTTATAAATTATAATCTAGTGGTATTTTTCTTATTTAAAAAAACGTTGCAGAAAATGTTTTGGGTGTTAAATGTTTTCCATAACAGTGGGGCTAGCTCCCAGCTCCCCAAATATTTTAAAGTTTAAAATCTGCAAAACCCGTGAGTGCCGAATCGCGACTTTACGGGGGTCCATAGTACTCCACACTCGCTCTCTCACTAGGACGCACGCACAGACGGATTGGAGGCGCATGCGCATGGACACCTGGACGCGCATCGGCGGCGTGCGAGCTTGTGCTGCAGAAGTTGTCGAGACTTCGGGGAGGAATGGCGGACCTTCGCTCCCTCTTTGTGGGTCTCCCTGCTTTACTCCTCATATGGAGTGTAACTCGTGGGGTTACGCTTTCCGCCAACAGGAGGAACAATCAGGAACGATGTGGCTTCAAGGTAAAAAAAAAAAAAAAAAAAAATCTACTTGATGTCGTAACTTGTTACCCAGTAAGTCGTGCACTCGTTCAGGTGTCGGCGCATTTTTTAATGTGTTCTTTGTCACACATTTTTTTTCACTTAGTCCGTAATACTTGTTAGCCTGAAGTTGCAAATGAAATTTAATTGATTTGTAATTGGGTATTTTAAACGTTCTTTTTACATGGCGAGTGTTAATTTACCTGTCGAAGCATTTTTCTTACCTTCCATGCCGAACTCTACTCGAAAAAGTGGCAATTTAGAGAATGTTCGGCGTCATGCAAACGTGTGCAGTCAGTTAGTTAGCATCGTGTCTGGTCCTTAATTTGGCTTGTGTGAAATTTGTCCGTGGGTTTTGCAGCTCTGTCTAATTTATTGTAATCGTGGTGGGGGAGTGAATCTATTAGACTTGCGTACCGACAAAGCCGAGGTCCGTTTGAAAAGGTGACACTTGAAGATTGGTCACCGCTGTGTAAACTTGTCGACGTTGTTGCCGTTTTAAAAAAGTTGTCACCAATGAACCTTATTTCTTGCCTTGAATTCGGCCTTGGTGTCATCGTAGCCCAAGATTGTTGAAAACTAGTAAAATGGATTGTACTTTGTGGAATGTGGACAACTACATTGTCTTGCGTAACTTTTCTCTAAAAAGTTGCAATTTTAACTTCGGTCACTGCTGCGCAAATACTTGGACGTTGTATGCGCATCTATAAGTCTGAACTCCGCTTGGTGGACGTTGTTGTCATTTTTTTGTTATCTTTGCCCTCAGTTCGGCTCCCGTTTAATTTAGCAACGATTGTTATAATTCTGTCAAATGTATTTTATTCATATGGGTGCAATGTGGAGAATTCCAATGGGAACCCATTACGGTGTATCGCGATTGTTGCTGAATGTGACGGTTTGTACTGTCTAAACATGAAGTCAATTGTACAACTTCTAAAGTTGGGGTGGGCAAACTGAAAGAATTGCGCCCACCAATGGTTTTGTGGCTTTGGTTGAATTGCAGGTTGTAAAAAAAAAAAAAAGAAAAAAAAAGCTGACTTCCTCCCATTTGATGGCTTTCACTTGCTTTAGGGGGTCTCACAAGGATCCCTGTGGACCCCTGTGACATGTGCTGCTAGCAGCTGCGCTGGCTAAAAACACATGTTTGGCAAGCGCACGCTTACAAAACTTAACACATCTTTTTTTTTCTTTTACGAAAAAAAAAATCCCACATCTGATTTGACTTTAGATGTTTTATCTCTGCTCCATGTTTTCGCTCCAGGGGTTTAAATGGTGTGTGTATGTGTGTGCGTGTGTGTCTGCCATCTTCCGTGCGTGCGTGCCGTGCACACAGGTAAGGTCAGCATTCATGCGTATGTGCTAATGTTAGCTTGCGGTGTTTACTTCTTTGCATTTACTCCAGCTGGCTTTCAAGCATGTGGAATAAATAAATGCTCAGACTGATTTCTTAAAAGCCATCTTAATTTGGTTTAGGAGGGTTAATCGGCAGCACACTAGTTTACCAGTCGGGTTTAAGTGCGTTAAACAATTCACTTAATCGACGTGACTTGTAAGACAAAGTTGTCCTACTCGTGCGGTAAAGAAGGACAAGGGACATCCTAGTGCACCCTCCTTAAAATTGGATCTTGAATCAATGGCTTTCCATGCTCCCTGAGGATCTCTTGAGAAGGTGCGCTCCATTTGCCTACTACCCAACTGTCCAGGAAATATTTTAATATCATTCACTTCTATTTTGCGTGCACATGGCAATAAATTTGTAGCCACAAATTAGCATTTTGTTGTATCTAAATTGTGGCCCAATGTCCCTCCTATTGCGTGTGTGTGTGTGTGTGTGTGTGTGTGTGTGTGTGTGTGTGTGTGTGTGTGTGTGTCTGTGTGTGCGTGCGTGCACTATCTGTATTTCCCCTTTTAGCCTTTGAAGTGTTGTCTACAGGAAGCCCCAGACTGTTTACCCGCTGAAACATTCCTTCCTGCAACAACCCCCCCCCCACCCCCACTTGCCATCCCACCCGAACACACACACACACGCACGCACACACATCAGAGGATGCTGAATGTGGGGGTTTGAGGCTTTGCTATTCAACAGGTGTGAAGTGGTTAGAGGTGTGAGGTTTTACGAAAAAGCCCAATAAAAGCAAGCTTGTTATTTGCATGCCAGGCCTGTAGGTGGCGACGTGTTTTTCGATAATTAACAGTGTTCCGCGCTGTTGCCTGCGTGCCACATACTTATGTTGTAAAGATTGATTGTTTTATTCAATCTTGAAGTAAAATGACCACATTCAAGACATTCCGAACATTTCTCTGAACAATTCGTGTCATAAAAAGCAAATTCATCCATGTTGGCTGCCAGGAGAGACGAGGGCTTTGTGCTGAATGTGTCCCATTCGATTTCAAACTGTGAAGGTAAGTTTCAACTTTGAGTTCCTGAGGTTTGTGTCGTTGACACGCAGTTCACCTTTTGTTGACCTGATCTTGGTTGCAAGTGGGAATCTTATTTTATTAATAATCTTATTTGCCTAATTTTATTGGAATACAGCGTCTTGACTCATAATCTTATGTTAATCTCAGTTTCAAAGAAACAAAAAAATAAAAGCACGTGGCATTCTTTTTTTTTTTTGTTTTGTTTTTTTTGAAGAACTGTTCACGATCAATCATTTCCTCATCTTTTGCGACCGGTCCCTGTGGATCAGAGCTACTCCACCCCCGCTTAGATCCCGTCTTAGATATCCCGCTTCCTGGATCGTATTCCCCGCTTTCACCTGCACCCGAAACACTCGCCCTTGGAAAAACATCCCTTTGTGTTCAGCTAAGCCGGATGATCCTGTGGTTTCTCTTTTTCACCCCTCGTCTGTCTGTCTGTCTGTCTGTGTGTGTGTGTGTGTGTGTGTGTGTGTGTGTGTGTGTGTGTGTAAAACATCTGCAGGAGGACGCGCAGGGAAAATCAGTCCGCTTCTTCCTGGCTAGAATCACAACTTTCCAGGCATGTTTCTCACTGTCCGGGCTCCTTGTACCGCGGGGGCTTGTATGTTT